ACAACACTTTGATTTGTGATATTTGCCTATTTCTGTGGCATATATACTCCCATTGTGGCTGATTTCAGGCTACCAATGTGATGTCATTGAATAAATAGTTGAAAAGGAATAAACACAATAGGCTCTTGCAAGCCCCTGTTTATGCTAAAACTATATCAGAAGTCAAGGATGACTTGGTGAAATAATTTACAATCTAAGCAAACCTGAAAAATAGTGTAATCCAGTATGTCAGTCAACAAGCCTTAAAGTAAGTAAACTTAAAAGACCATTAGTTCAATTCATGAATTTCTAAGCACATACTTTACAAAGTACCAAAGTAATATATTTAGATAATTTTAAGCAAAAAGAAATAACAGCCTAGGAATGTAATCTCATGTTTTGTCACTTCATTTGGAATATTTATATTTTAACTAATTACACCAAACATGTACAGAGCCCTCATTTGGTGTTGGGTACTATTCTAAGCACTTCACGTATTCCAACTAATTTAATCTCCCAAACAAATCTGTTTTATAGAAGATTAAACTGAGGCACAGAGAAGCCATTTGTTCAAGTCATAACATCAGCACATGGTAGTATGTGATTTTAAAAAATCATAGCCTATTTACAGTCTATCAGTGTGCCTTAACTGCTGCTCATATGGCCCCTAGAATGATCTGGAAAGGATGCTACAAGAGAGACTTCATGTAAATCTAGCATTACCAAAGTGAAAGACCATATAGACTGTAAAAATGTAGTCTGAAAAGATAACAATAAGTTAGGAGAGCAATAAACATAACCAAAAAAGGCTTTCCTTAATTTCTCCTCCTCTATAAGAGTAAATCACCACCAAGAAATTATTGAGTTGAAATTTAGAGTTTATTACAGTAATTTCTTTTATGTAATGAAAAAAATTATTATATAGAAATCATTGTTCAGGGAAATTTTGCATGAAAATTGTGGATGCATAATTTGTTAAGTGCTTTTTAATTTGAATCTTCGTGAGAGAAAATAAAGAAATGAAGATAATAAATTAAGCAATACTTCAAAAGAAAAAACAACTGGTTTCACAAAGTTTGTGAAATTCTTCATTGTTTCCAATCGTAGGGATTAGCTAAAATTCTCCATGATCATTAAGTGATGTGGCAGCTGAACTATCCTGTGACTTTATCTGCTGGTGTAAATCCTCTTTATCTAATCTCATAATTCAAACCAATAAGAAAGGATTGCTTGTTTATATACAAGACATGAAATCCTTCATTTTTATAACTGAGCTGTGTTTTTTTTTCTGTCTTCCAAGTTAGAAGTCTACAGGAGCCTCAGATTTGGCCTAAGCATGGATATGGATTTTCCATATTTCTGACAAACCAAATTCAAAGCAATCGTTCAGGGACCTGAGTAAGGACTCCAAAGAAGAGTGTTGCTGGGCTGACTCATCTAGTTCAGAATCAGCAGAGTCCAGTGTTTGCAAACATTTTCAAAACAGAACACAGATGGTTAGTGTGAGATGTTCTGGAATGGTGATGTAAGCATGAGTATGAACGTGCAGTAGCTGACAAGAAACCAGTTTCGTTCTCAAGATACTGCTTGTAAGGAGAATGTCACCTCACTGCTGCTTTCTCTTAAGGAAACCAAGAATGAAAGGAAAATCTACCCCCAAATATATTGCATCTGCTTCTGCTCTATTGGACTGTTAATTCCCATTATTAAGATCTGTATCCTTGGCTAAGGGGTAAATCTGCAATTTAGAGAGGGGGTTTTATGTCTATATGTGATTTATTTTTGCCAACCCATAATCTGTCCACCACTGAAAACTAGTCTTTATGATTTAGGCAATCGTATTGTGAAATGCAATTAGTTAATATATGTAACACTTTATAAACCATGAAAAGTTATACAAATGCTTTCCTCTTACATGTTTTTTGAAGAGTAAACAACTGGAGAAACTCTCTAGGATACACATACTCTCTACTCCCACTGGGTGCAGCATCTTATGTTAAGAAGTGTTCCTGGGTTATCAATGGTTTTTGCTGGAGTGTTATATGGCCTTACTAGACAATAGGAATGAGGATAGTCCTTGGGCATTACTTATATACCTGGTTTTGTACATTATGGAGGATTTATTAATATGTTTATTATGTGTATAGAAGGAAATAGGTGGAGCTAGGCTTTTCTCTAAAGACCAGGTCTATAATACAGTAAGTGGAGTACAAATAAGAATTTTCATTTATCCTAGGGGATACAGGGGTCCAATTTGTAAAAGGCCTTTTGTCTACCTAGAAACTAGTAAAAATAACCAAAGGATCTAGGATGGAAGAAGCCAACTGTGTAAGGAAACAATATTCAAGCGAACTTCTGAACAGCTGAAATGGACTTGAAGCAAAATTATTAGATGCTGCCTACAATTCAAAAGATATAGTGAATAATAATGAATAGGCACAGTTTAGTTTATTAAACAAACTCAGGACAGAAGTATCAATATTAAGAAAGAAATTCAAGGAGACATTGCCAATGAATTTCACATAGCCAGAGATAAAATCCTGCAAACAATAGTTCAGATGTTGGAGTTAGTTAGCCCCAGCTGATGGCTAAATAATCAATAATCTTAAGGGAAGACAGAGCCAATTTCATTTTCATATATCCAATCAATAATTATTGAACGATTGAGGGCTTACCTGTGGATGGATTATTGGCTGACTAATTCAGTAAACAATATTAAGAACCTACTATTAATGAGGTTCTATGTTGGGTACATTTTCATGTATCTTAGAGGTTGCATAAAAAAGATATTAAATTGCCAAACTGCAGAAACAGCAGCTACTGTAATGCCAAAGCAAACAAATTTGACTCCACCTTTTCTATAGACCTTGGTACATATCTCTATCACAGTACTTAGTAACTTCTTCTTTACTTTTTCTATCTCTCCAGCTTGGAACTTTTTCTGCAAAACTGAAATGTTTTTGCTCATTTTTAACTACTACCATAGTCAGTACAGATGTTGGTCAAATAAATGAATAAAGGTTAACCCAAATTCCTAGTGGACAATGCAGCAAAATAAATAAAGTTGACAAAATTGTAATCTAATCTTTAAATTTCTAGGAAAGTGGATTCTAGGGAAAAAGCGTTCTGTGAGTAATTTACATGTACACTCATATATGTTAATTAACATTTGTCTTTCATAAACTAGGTATCCCTTCTCTATGATGTTCTAATGGTCTGTACATCTATCTATAGTCTGTACATTCTATAGTAATTATTTACCTGTCTTTCTTCCCAGTATTCTAAAGAAAGAGTAAGCACCATTAATGTGGCAAATGTAGTTTTCCCCAAGGTTTATCACAGTCCTTAGCATGCAGACCATCCTCAGAAGATGTTTAAGGAATGAATGAATATGTGGTGAAACTTTCTGAGGTTAATCATTATAAAAAGCAATGTACTGAAAATGATAAAAAGTGAAACAATTTGATTTGAATGCATCTAAAAAATAAGAGATATAATTTTTAAAGAATTAAACTGTATTATGTAGTTTATGTTGGCATTTTAACACCAGATTATGGCCATTTAGTGAAAGTTCATAATGCTATATTGTTGGAGACATTCTTATTTCTTTTATTGAGGAGCTGTTTTTAGCTAGGAGTGAATGATTAGTCTTGGAATTATCTAATCCCATTTCTACTTTAATTTGTAGTATCTTTTTAAAGCAAGGAACTTTCAGAGTTCTGGTTTCCTTGCCCCCAGCTCAAATAAAATACAACAACAACCTATTTATCCACCAGACTTTTTTGTTTCAGTAAACGATATAATTATTTGTTAAACCCAAAAAACCAGGAGTTGTCCTTGAATGTTTTCTTTTTGTCCCCTACCTTCTAGGCTCCCTTACCCAGCCCACTAACCACTGCCAATGTCCAATCAATGATCAGGCCCTCAGCCCTGATTTCAAAACATATTGTAAATCTCTGAGTTTTCACCACTTCTTTACCATTAAGGTCTTGCTTTAACTATTGCAGTGGCCTCCTAACTGGTCTCATCACTACACAGGACAGCATGAAAGAGCTTTGAAATCCACTGAAATCCATCAATGGTTTGCTCCTGAACTGAAAATAAAAGCCAATCTCCAAACCATGTCCTCAGTGCCCTACTTGATCTGGCCTCCACCAGATTCTTCACATTAACTCCCATTGCCGGCGCCTTTCTATCCTACCTGTCCCCAGGCCTTCTTGTTGACAATGGAATGGGCCATGCTTATTTCCATTCTCATAGCTGTTATTTTTGCTGTTCTCTTTTCCAGGAATACTTTTCTATGGATCTCCAAAAGGGGATCACTCATTACACAGTTGTCTCATCTTTCCAAGAGGCCTCTTTAAAATAGCATCCCTGTCCCAGTCACTTTCTATTCCATTTCTCTACTTCACTTTCTTAATAAAAAAGGAATTTCCTCATGTTATTTATTTACATGTTAACTTGTTTAATGTCTGTCATCCTTACTAGAAAGAGGTCAGGGTTTGTATCTCCCTTGTCTCCTGTTGGATCCCCACAGCATTGAATGGTAGGTGCTCATTACATATTTCTGGAATGATTCAAGGCTAATTCAGTGCAGTAAGTGTGCTAGTTTTAAAATATGTAGACCGGGGTAGTAACTGCTATGGACAATACCCCAGATGTATTGAGACCACGAATTCATGTCTCATTGTCCATTCAAGGTTTATAAGAACACAAAAATATTATATTTCAGACAATTCAGACTGGAATAAGATAACTATCCTATAGGAGAAGGCCAATTCAGTCCACTAACAATTTGAGGAAAACTAATTTGTGCCATTGACAATTTATTGGAAAAAAAGCAACTTTCCTTCCATCTTATTAGATATATTACCATGTTTGTGCTATCTTGGGGGGTTTGAGAGATGGGGAGCAAGTCATCTGCTGGGTTTCTATGCCATTACATGCTATTTGTCACTCTAGGACATGGTTTACTCACTGTAGCATTTAATTAATGTAACAAACATTATTTGTGCACTGACCTCTTTATCCCTCCAAACGTTTGGGCGTGACCTAAGAATTTTCCGTAGTCAATATGAAACATGTGGCCTGACTTTGTCAGCATGATATTGTCGTTATGTCGGTCACAGACTCCCAAGATGAATGTTACCACACACCAGCCAGCACAGGAATAGAAAAAATTCCTCAAGGCCTAATCGGTTGAAAAACAATAACACAAAAATAACAGTGAGTACATTTGCATCAGAGCTAATGGCACAAAATATGATAAAAAGCCAAGTTACATAACCAAGAACCACTTCTACATCTCAGTTGAGAGCATGATATGCTTAAATGGTTGGTTCTTGATATGCTACAGAAGAACATGAAATAGCCTGTTCTTTAGCCTAATAGATGAATGTTTTCATTGAAACTGGGGAAAATGTCTCTTTCTTCAGCTAGAGGTAATTTGCATAGTTTATTAGAGAAGATTCCTGTTGCTATTTTTTGATGTCTCAAATATTCAATATCGAATGTTTTTTTTTCAAGGTAAAAGAGGATGAAACAATGTGGCCCTATATTGCCTATCCCAGGAGAAATTAAAAATATCAACTTCTGAGAATTTGATTTTTTTTAATATAGAAAAAGCTATATTGAGATATCTGTAATACTTTATGTTTACCCTTACAAATAGGTCATCCAGCTGATGTACAAAAGTGTTTTGTTACAGTGTATCTTAGTGAATGCCTATGTGGGTGGAAGGAGATTACCACTAAGTCAACTATAGCTTATATTCATTTGCAAAATCATTCTTTGTTTTCAAAATGGTCTCCTGGGTATACAACATTTTCCTCAGGGATGCAATCATGTGTGTATCCATGGTGTGCACACGTGTGATTGGGTGGGCCTCAGTGATGGGTCTCCTTGTATGGCTGAGCCACTGGAGTGCACATCTATGCCACTGGACTACATGTCAGGACATCTTAGTTCCGCAGACCCCAAATGTCTGAGCAAGTCACTTTGCTTGCCTAGATTTTCTTCACTTATGAAGTGAAGGTAATAAAATATGTCCTTCACACAGTGGTTGAGAAGAGCAAATGTAAGTGGAAACTTCAAAATTATATCTATAGGGATTTGTGTAAAAGTAAATTTACAATTTTGGTAACAGCTAAAAAATAGATTTCAAGAGAATATCATCTAATTCTTTGTTATTTGGCCTCCAAAAGCCTGTATTTTTCCTCTACTCCAGTCTCACAGAAGACTGGAATAGATGAATTACTGGGTCTCTCTCTCATGGACTGTGTTAGCTAGGGTGACCCGTCAGCCCAGCTTGCCCAGGACTGAGGAGTTTCCTAGAATGAAGGAATTTTAATTCTCAGGGTAACTCTGAGCATATCTAATACTGGTCCATCACTTCTACATGTTAATTAGCATAAGGGTGCCCCTTCCTCTGGGTGGACCCAACTGTACCATTTCATGCCTCGGGAGTGGAAAAGGCCTGGCTCTATCCACTCATCCCTTGACCAGGAGCCCAAGTATAGTGCAGAACCTGCACAACTGCACACTACCAGCCAGCTGTTCAAGTGAATGGTGGGAAGAAATGTTTGAAGCCCAGTAAAACAGTGTATATTATAAAGTTCTGAGATCTAAAATAGAAAAATAAAACTCTTTTATGCATTCTGCAAACAATAAAGAATAAGGCATGAAAGAGTTGAGCTTGGCAGAAGAAATGTCTCGCAAAGGATGGAGGAAGGTTTGTAGAAGTTGGAGATTGTGTACAAATAGGCAGACGTAACTTGAAGGAGGTGGTTTCAGGTGAGATTGCTGTAAGGGGGGCAGCTGAGCAAAGACAATCTTTACTGACAGCCCAGAGTTTTACCCAGAAGAAAAACCAAACACAGAAATTGTTACCTAGTTAATGTACCATTTAAACTGGGTCATTATTACTAGGCTAATGACTGAGTGAATTAGAAGTCAAGGTGTACTTAATTTACTTTTTCATAAATCAGAATATGTAATGAACCAGAACATATTTTTACCTAAGTACATTATTTAAAATTAGCTCCAGCAGGACAAACCTTCTCATAATCCACCTTCAAATGGTTGTGCTGACTGAACCACTTTTTGATTGTATTTTCTCTCAGCGGTCCTATCAGTCCAGAGTGGCGATGGACCTTACCTAGGGTGACAGCATCAGGCACCATCTGTACCAATCCTGGTTGATAAAAAAGAGATTATGGAAATAATTATTTCTTCGTAGGACAAAAGACTCTTAAGAAATACATCTTGACAGCAATAGTTGCCAGTGTTACTGGGATTGCCATTTTCCTTTCCAGAATTTCTTTTCTGAAGGGGCCTTATCTAGATGGATTTCTTTCTAATTTTTCCTAAATCCTGGGGAGCAGTGAATATTCATTATGCATGAATCAGAATCAGATCTATGAGGAGAAGCTTTACTATTTCTTCTAAAACTAGAGTACAGAGCCAATCTAGACAGTCTCACTCAGACCCCTCTGAGTCAATAAAGTAGTGGGTTAATTAACATATGTCTTGTGAATTAATTTATATTTTAAGGAAGGAAATTCAAACTTGTGTATCAGGCATATTTATGATGTAAGTGAACTAAATACAATCTCCATAACAAATATTTCAAATATATTATGGAAATCAATGTTCAGGTTAATTAAAGTTTCACTGTTAAATGTTCCATTTCTAGGAGTGAATAGAACAATTCTGCAGTAAACATGTAGAAAACCACCTGCTCCTTCCTGTTCAGTCAACATTAAAGAGAAACTATGATAATAATTTCTTAAAAGGGAACATACACTGATTTAACTTCAATAGGACCTTTCCCCATTGGCCATGTATCTATCAAGGCTTCTTTTCATTGTGTTCCTAAGGTTATTGGAATGTAAATCTCAAATCTTCTGATTTTTATTCTGTATAGAATAGCAATTTAAACACAGTATTTAAAACTCTCCCAGGACTAATGTCCACAGATCAATTTGTAATGTACAGTTCTATAAATAAGGTAATTGAAAGAAATTAAAGTTTAGAATTTCTAATTTCCACAATCTTGATAATTGCAAGACTTGCAAACTCAAATGCCCAAAGAGATCAGGGACAAACATGTAACTATTAGAAAAGAGAGAGGGCTAAATTTTTTAAGTTGACTATTTCATAATCTACCTTAAAAACAATCAAGTTAAACAGCAAACAAGCAAATCACAGTGATGGTAAATGAAACATTTCTCTGCTGGCTTTGGCCAATAGCAGGTAGTTGCAGCCTTAGTCTTTGTCTTAATATCCAATAGTCCACTTGTGACCTAAGGAATCTACCTTGCTGTACCAGAAATAAACTTAAATATGGGAAGTGGGAATTGAATATAGAATGCTGCAAAAATAACCTATGAAACCTCTTTGTTAAAAAAAAAAAAAGAAAAGAAACAGCACCCAGAGGTAAATCCTGGGCATATCCTTAACAGCACAACACTTCTTCCTCCTCCCCAGTGGAGTTCAGTTCTTATGCAGGGTTTCTTATGTGTATAAAATGAGATGGTAAGTGTGATGCATTACATTTAGCAGTAAGGTTATTACTCTAGAAAGAAGTGGATGTCTTTTAAATACTTCTAATATAATTCTGTTTGCACTGAGCAATATGTGTGGTTCCATTCTTACAGTCTTCTAATGCAGTATTCCTCCAATTTTAGTGCACATCTGTATCACATAGGGATATTGTTAAAATGTAGTTTCTGATTCAGTAGGTGGGTGTGGGGGCTCAGATTCTTCATTTCTAATAAGCTCCTAGGTGATTTTAGTGCTTCTGGTCCATGAGTCACACTTTAAATAACACGGTTCGAAGGTACACAACTTTTCAAGGTGTAATCACAGAAGGCAGTGGCTTTCAAAATGGGGTGCATAAGAAACACCCTTTTTGTAATCACTGAGACCACAGGTGAGAGCCTGATTTAGTGCCCTGTCTGGGTATGTAATTGTATGTACTCTTCTCCTTCCCCTAGGTAATTTTTATGCCCATCATATTTGGAGAGCCAACAATGAAATAAATCCTACAGAATCTTTATATGACCTGATAGTCTCTCTCAAAGCTCCTAGGACATCATATACAAAGTAGTCACGAGAATTATAATCAACAATAATGCTGATCAAGTCATGTAAACTTCTGGCCTTGAGTATATGCTCCTTAAGGGCAGCAGCTCTCTTTAGCTCATTCTAGTATTCCCTACCATACTTTCTAACATTTCTTTAGAACAGCAGGCATTCAGTAAGCTTTGGAACCCGATTAAAAATTGAACTTGATCTCTAAAAATGACACTTGCTTTAATGACCTCTATTCTTCTTGAAGAATTATTTTGCTGATATAATGCCCTCTGAACAGCTATAGGTTTGTTGGTAGATAGAGGGGAAGAATAACTTGTTTGTCTTATGACATCCCTAACTTTGGGCAAGTCTACAATAATTTTTGCTGAATCATTTCATTAATTTCAAAAGACAGCCTCTGTTACATTCTGTGATTATAAATGAGAAATGAGTAGATGAAATTAAAGAATTCCACTGAGGTCAATGATTGATTCAATTTCTGAAGAAAAGGTGATCCATGTGACATCAAAAAGATCACTGCGGCTCATCTAGCTTTATTCTTGCTCTTCCACCATATAAAGATAAGAAAGCATTAGGCTGCTTGTGGGAGAATAGGGAAAGTAAGACTCAAGGAATAAAAATCTTAGAGTACCCATGATTAAAGACTCTTCAGAGCTAGAGTTTTAGAAAGAGCTCAGGGAATGGCAGCAAGAGCCCTATTATTGGAATAAAAATAATTGGGTAGTATGACTTGTAACAGAGTCATCCTGAAGTATCAAGCTGCAAATTAAGCTGAGTAGGAAGTGCTTCCATGCTTATTCTAAAATCTCAAGTCACAATTGGCTGGGGTCCTGAGCCTAGTGGTAAGATCAGGAACTGGGAGGCCAGACAGTGACAGCTTTTCATTTGTAATGTTGGGTTTCAATTGTGGCTCTGCCTGAAATAAAAAAAAAAAAAAAAAGACTACATGGTTGTAGGTCACTTTTTCAGATTCTTATTTCTTTATTTATCAGGTGCATCTGCTATAATTCACACTAATTAATTTAATGAAATTCTTAGGGGCAGTGACATATGTAAAAAGATAAGGCAGTTTAAGAATTAGTTTTTTCAAATTCTGCATGATTGTAACTAATTACAACTTTTACTGCTGATGTTTTAGTAATAGTAGGTGAGCCACTGACATTACTTTCATTGATAATGTGTATTAGAGTAATTATATTTCCATATTAATGTCTTGGCTTTCATGAAGGAAAAGAAATGCTAATGTTCAAAGTTTGCAAGCATAGTCATCTTTGGCTACTGAACTTACACTTCAATCAAAGGTCTTTCAGAAATTAAGTTCAAGTTTACAATGTATTTAAAATTTTCAGAACTCCTTTGAGCACTTGTAACTTTGTAAATTTTTTGTTAATAGGCAACAATTGTATTTTTTGAAGTAGTAGTTTTTCTACTTAGAAAAAGAGACAATACTGTGAGTTGGTTATTAATATAACCAACCCTTAAACACACAATAAGATAGCATATCTAACATTTGGATTGTCAAAGTCCTCATTAGTATCCACAAGGACAACATACTCATGTGAATTATTTTGGCTTATCATTTTTGAAAACAATTCTTTTTTAAAAAGAAGAACAATGATGCGTAATTCTTTTGATTTTAAATTGTGTAGTCTAGAATGAAAGCTGTGGAAAGATTGGTGGCATATTATCAGCGAATGTATGAGATAAATAATGTAGGCCAACCAACTTTTTAATTTATACTGACCTTGGTCTTTTCCTGTGGATAGACATGCGTAAATGATCATTTGCATATCCAGGCCCTCCTGCAGCCAAATATTGTCCATCACTTGAATAATCTGCAGAACAAACATATCCTGACGAAGATCATCTCCGGCCTATTGAGAACAAAATTATAGACTATGAGTTTCTCCTTGAATTCCATTAAGAGATCTTAAATATGGTATATGTCATTTCTTTCTCTGAATAAATTCCTAGCCTCTTAGAGTGGTTTCAGTTGTTTTATTATCCTAAAAGTACCTTGTGTTTCTGAAAGAAGATCAAAGAAAATGAGAAATTCCCTTAAATGATTATAGAAGCTTTAGCCATCAAAGTAGAGGCTGCTCAGAAGGTTGTCCCCTGATAATAATCTTTTGATTTATTATCCACGTGTACGGTCTTCAACTCAAAGTCTAGTGAGAGAGACTGTATGAATGTTTATCCAAATTTCAAACTTCGACAAGAGAGCTCTCTTTCTGAGTGAAATATTATTTGGTCTTCCATAAATGTATGCACTGATATATAGTTATACAAGAGCTTCTTGACTAGGAGTATAAACAGCAGATGAATTATGATTCATCAGACTTTGAATCACTAACTTCTCTTATTATGAAGGCAGTTAAAAGTTTTCAGAGTGAATGGCTTTTGATAATAATAAGAAATGATAAGGGGTGATTTTCTATCACAGGTGAAGGAAATGTAGTATATCCAAAGGGGAAGGATAGTTCTATGCTTTAAAACTAATAAGATACTTGGTTTCAAAAATGCTTCTGAAATCACATGCAGAAAATTATTCCAGGATGAGCTTTTCTGTTGTTTTTCTTTCTTCTCCAGAATTGCAGTGTCATGGGACTACTAATGCCTGAAGTAACACAGGTCAAAGCAAAAGATTGGGTGTGCTAATTATTATCCTCAAAAACAGAATCCACCACAAAACTACACTCTGAGACTTGGTTGTCTAATTTGGTTGAAAAATTGATTAAGTTAATGGAATGATTGTCAAATCCTTACTTTTTACTGACAGCTCCTTCTTTAGTCCCTTTTTCTTACTTGTCTACAGCCTTATACCTTATCTTTTACTCTATTTTCCCATGGGACTCATGACAAAAACTAATATGGCACATATTTATCTTTCATTTAAAGATAGAAAAAAAAACCCCAAATCACTAAAAGAAGCAAGTACTTGTAGATAAGAATTTTATGTTAAATTATCATTTTAGTTTCGGCTAATTTTGATTCCAATTTAGTATCTAGGCCAAAAGAAAACTTCCCCACTAAGGTTTCACCATACATTCGCTTTCTGTGCTCCTCAGAACTGATTATATAACTTCGTTTATTAAAATACATCTTCTTAAGTTTTGCACTAGAGGTTTACTGCCTTTAAGCCAGTAATGTTTGATCCATTGCCAATTATAGTTTGGCATGTGCGATGATTCTGTAAAAATGCAGAATCAAAAAATAACTGGAATCCTCTATGCTTCTGCCAGAGGAAGATAGCTATAATATATATTTTTGTGAGTAATAAATCAGTAAGTCTACTTATGAAATCAAACTGGATGTTTTAGGAGGGCTACTGTACCTTGAAAATGACACTAATGTTTTTGCCCATTGGATTGGCATTGATGAAAGTGATCTTCAATGGCAAAGCATTCGATGTGAAATATGAACATGCCTATAGAAAGAGAAGTGAATAATGATGAGCAAAATAAATCAAAAGGAGCACTTTCCATGAAATCATGGCCCCATGCAGAATTTGTTATGTGAGCAAATAAAACACATGAATATTTTTTACGCTTGTAACAAAGAAATGTATTTATTTAAAAAACAAAACAAAACAAAAAAACCCTTTAGTTTACCAACCAAAGCCTTGGAAACTAAAAAGCCAGCTTTTTGGCAGGTTGTGAATCTTCAGCTACATTTCTTGTCACTGAGCCGTGATGATGTATTGGGCGTTTAAGCTTACTAAGTAGTATGTAGGGATTGTGCTTATGCTAAGAGATAAATTGCTATTTAAGTTCTTCCCTTTTGAATTATTTATGCCCGGCAGCATACTTTAAGGAAACGGATACAAAGGTGAGAAAGACCTGAGTTTAAATTTGGACTTTTCTCTTCTCAGTTCTTTCAATTAGATTGCATTTCCTTTTCCAGCTTTATGATATTGACTACTTCCCATCATACTTTCCTTGTTGCTTGTTCTCCTGTTATGTGCTGACAATGGTTTGAATGGTAAAAGGCTGTGTGTCTTTGGGCTATTAGAGAGGTCACATTGACAGTGAATAGTTAAATCAATATTAAAGAAAGGAAAAGGACTTGATAGTTACAATTTATGAAGTTAGTAAAATATGACATCAATACATGTTGAAGGATCAGTTTGAATATCATGATTTCTGAGAAGTCTGAAATCGGTAGAAATTGAGAGGAAAGGATCTGTTTCTTAATTTAACCTATCAACATGAATCTAACCTAATCCCTAAGCAAACAGAAACTCTTGTTTACTGAATCAATTTGAGTTTTATAGTAAATGGGTGAGGCTGCTTGCTAAATAATGAATTCTTGCTTTAAGAATCAGTCAATCAAGAAACAAATGACCTTCTGCCATTATATTGAATTGGGAAATCCTGCCTTAGTTCAGAAATGAGTCTAGATTAATGGTTATCAAACTTTATTCATCCAGTTCTTGGAAATCTCCTTGAGGCTTCCCAAATCCAGGAGAGACAAAGGACAAAGGGAAGACGAAGGCAAGGCTTACCTCTTCTTCTTAATCACATCACTCAAAGCTCTTTTGCTTTCATTGTTTATACTTTGTTTTTCACACGCAGTTTATTTTTGGGGATTAATGTCAAAGATATATATTTGACAACTAGTATACAATAAGCCATTATCTATATGCTGACAGAGACACCGTCTACTCAAAGAGCCTACAAAAAGGTGGTATGAACGTATACATGTACACATTAAGTTGAAAATAATTTACAAGGCATTTATCAGAGTTGAATGAAGAAGCAGTTGAAGAAAAAAGTCTTCTATAGATAAGATAGATTTGAAAATTGGGAGAGATACAGATTAGCAAACAGATTGAAGGAAAGATATTCTTGACAGGAGAAGGCAAACAATGAGATCTTAGATTAGGGTAGAAGTTAAAAGTGTATTAGGAAAGCCACAACCAAGACACAGGAAAGAGAATTAGAGTCTTATAGAATGATTTTATGTACATGGTAAGAAGGGCTGGAATAGAGAAAAGAAGATAAAAATTGGAATAGAGAAAGGAAGATATGACCTCTGCTCTTGAGAAGCACACACTAATGAAATAGATTTAAAATAGTTTTAAATAGAAAGGAAAAGAAATCCAGTGGTAAATGAAAGGTCTGGTCCTTTCTTTCTTAGGAAAGGAGAAAGACTACATTAAGTTATTCTCACTCTCTCAAATAGTCCATTACTTAGTGAACCAAAAGGAAAAAGGAAATGGTCCATTGTGATTAGTGGTTTCAAGGCGAGACAAGGGTTAAAATTCTTCCAAAAAGGAAGTTTATTTCAGACCTAAGACATTTGCTTTCCTTCTTGGGGAGCCATGCTTTAAGAAATGGACTGATCCAGTCCTCAGTGCTTCTCCCCAGTGTAGTTCAGTGATAGTGAGTAACATAGAATGCTGACTGTAGGCTTTCCTACACTTGCTACATTCATAGGGGCTTCTCTCTAGTGTGAACTGACACTAACCCCTTTCTCACAATCATTGCATTTATAAGGCTTCTCCCCAGATGGGTTCTCTGATATACCATAAGATTGGCATTATAACCAAAGACCTTCCTACATTCATTACATTCATAGGGTTTCTCATAAGTTTGAATTCTATGATATATAATGAGGTGTGTATCTCGACTGGATTGCATACTTTCCACATTTATAGAGCTCTTTCCTTGTGTCAAATCTGTGACATAAATAAGACTTTTACTCAGACTGAATGCCTTGACATACTGCATTCAAAAGGTTGTTCTCTAGTATGAATGTGTTCAGTAAACAAGCTGAGATTTCTGACTGAAGACTTTTCCACCCTACCTATATATATGTACTTGTTACCTGGTGTGGAGACTCTGATGTCAAACAGAACATTTACTCTGACTGAAGGCCTTACTATGTTCATTACACTCATAAGGCTTCTCCCCAGTATTTCTCTGATGGTCAATGAGCGGGAAACTCTGAGTGAAGGTTTTACACATTAATCACATTCACGAGGTTCCTCTTAATCATGGCATCCTTGGTACTGAAGGAGATGGGAGCCGCAATGACAGATTTTCCCAAACTCACTGCATTCATGTCTTCTTCCCTCAGTAGATTCTTAAATGAACCACTGGCTGGGAGGTCTGTCGGAAGGTCCTATAATGTGCATTACACTCATACAGGTTCTTTTCAGATGGACCCTCTGATGGCCAAGCAGATGTGGGCTTTATTGATTAGAACTTTGCCACATTCACCACACACTCCAGTGTGATGTGTGTCCCTTCAGATCCTTTTGTTGTTGAAGGACGGACTAAGATGTTTCCAGGAGAGAATGTCATCTTGCCACGTCGGGCCTGTTTATAGTTGTACACATGACTGCCCAGCCCTGTCCCAGGAGCAGTTGTTCAGACAAGTGAGGCAAAAATGTGACTCTACTTGGGGCATTTCCTAGTGTCAGGGAAAGTACCACCAACTGCAGGTAGCTGCAGGGAAGGAGTGTAGTCCCAGACACAGCACTCTAGGTGGTGACCCCCGGCTTGGCTAGGTGCTTGGACACCACAGCAGTTGCCTGTTAGAGCTGAAACCCCATATTCCCAAAGCCTGCAAAAGCCAAAACTCGCATGTAATTTAATTGAACAAATAGTTCTACTCCTTCAACAACAACACACCAAGAGAGCAGAAACAAAAACCATCTGGACTTAATGATCCATATTGTTTTTTCTACTTTAAGATGCCAATGTCTTTGAAATGTTGTATTTCCACATATCTTCAGCCTTAATTGGTGAATATTTCTAATGACTAAAAAGTTACACAATTGTTTAGAATTAGTGATAATTTGGATTTTAGGTCAGATACACATATGTCAGTTTATGGAATATGATGCCTTATTTTTGTTATTTTTCAAAATCTTTCTATGCAGTATATTAAGAAAGTTGGTAGGATGTCTTTGTAGCAGCAAAGTTGTAAAGGTCATAGTATCAAGCTTTTACTGAAACTTTTTATAATCATACAAAAAATGGTCTAATTTTTCTCCATTATATCTCTAATTATTGGATTTGTTCTCTTGATTATCTTATGACTTCAGTTAAGTAACAAGTATAATGCATGCATGATAGTTTTAACTCCTTCACTTCCAAATCTCGCATCAATCCTTCTCTTTATTAGTGTTTCTACTCATGGACTTTTGAGAAGGAGGATAATAAAGCTCATGGAGAACAGAGGAGAAAGAATGATCCTAAGTCACAGAAGGGTTCTGACAGAGGCATAGGAAGAGAAAGCAGTTAGGAGTCTGACTCAAGGAAGGACATTTCAGGCATAAGTAAAATCACAAAACATATTGTATGACCCACTGACACATGAATTTCAATGAATTTTAAGTTGAATAAAAACTGAGATGTTGTAGTTAATGATATGCTAGCTGTAGCTAATAATATATTAGTGTACAAGGTATGGGTATGGGCATAATCTAAATAAGCATGAAATTAAACTCAGCCTGCATGGGTTCACTGAATCAACCCTCTTGAATAAATTGAGAAATGAATTCCATGAGAAGTATCTTTATTTATTTATTTCTCTGAACTGATGAATTGTTTCTAAATCAGCAAATCATGTGATGAGGCAATGTGATGCCAACTGATCACGATGCATCAAATGCAGCACGTGGTTTGGATGGATTCAATTACTTTTTTCTTAAAATAATTGCAATGACAATTTATAAATTGTTTTTGCCATTTCATAAGCATACAATGAACTAAACAATACAAAACAAAAATTCTCAACTTATCTACAGAATAAACTGATATACCTTGCGATCAATCCCCTTTATGCATAGGGCAGGGTTCACAGGAAGGTGACAGGTATTTATATGCTGAAAGAATTCTTCCAGTCTTCCAATCTCTTTCATCAGTACCTCCTGTGAAAAATCATTAGGTAAAGCTTCTTAGAAATTGTAAAGAAATTGATTTTTCCTGTAAGCTATAATTTTCTTCTACTGATTACATAAACACTTTTAATTCAGGGGTTGCCCTCTTAGATGCTTTGAGGTCAGAGAGGTGATGTAGCCACATATGAGTAGGCAACAAGCTAAAGACAATAGGGAGAGTTGGAGGAAATGGGGAACTAAAGAGTGCATGCCATTTCTAAGGGACTTTAAATTCAATTTAACAGAATACCAAAACAGCACTGTTCTGCTCAAGTAAAACACTATGGTGGGGGGAAGGGTTGGACTCTTGCAATCCCTGCTTTAAGTTACTAACATGATCCACTTCTGATAATTTCCTGAAATGTTAGTTTGTAACTCTTAAGATTTACACTTAATAATAATAGTAAATTTTAGAAAAACAATCACATATATTAGGATCAATAATGACAAAAAAACAGTAATTGCAGACAACTAATAATTGTTAGAAGTAGTAATATATGAGCAGATTGTTTAGTAAATGCCAGTGAATGTATTTCTTATACTTGACTCACTCCCTTCCATAGTCCTCTGTACCTGTGGAAGATCTGAGACCACAAACACCACCTTTAGAATTGTGTATTCCCTGACAAAAGGGGTTGGGGGGACAATAATAATTCAAAGCAGAATAATAATAAGAATTCAAAAATTTAAAAGCTCTTTTTAGACCGTTTTTGAAAATTTGTTAAGCCCAATTCTAAAAATGAGAATGTAGGATTTATAATGCTTAATTAGTTCTCACTCATGGCTCTTTGGCAAATAACAGAATCACGGCCCCAAGAATCCAGAACAAGTTGGAGAGATGAGGCAGAATTCTACTATGGCCGTCTTTCTGTCTGTGGTCCTTTTGCCTTGTCTGTGCCTGGATTTGCTCGAGGAATAACCTGAAAGGGAATCTGCTCTTCTTAATTAAAATCTCTTCATTTCATGTAGTCAGGTTTAATTAGTCTTTTTTTTAAAAAAAAAATAGAAAATAACTCAAACTGAAAGAAATTATAAGTGCTTCTCCCACTTCATTCCTTTCCCCTTCCTATTTTCAGGTGAAAAAGTGTTATCACAAAAGCAGCCAGTCAAGGTGAGACAAATAACACTTATTTGAAAGAATAAAGTCATTATCACTCCGGAAACTGATGCAAATGGTCAAAAAGGCACCAGAATTATTTAACTGTAGTATGTATCTTAAATATGTGATGTCCTTTACAACATAAGAAATAAAGACCAAACCAGCACACAAATTGTATACATTTTAAACCAAAATATTTTGCTTGTTTTTAAGTTTTAGTCCACCCCTAGAAAATAATAGGTTTTCTGTAATATGGAGAAATTATAAAATTTTTCTTCTTTGAATTGCCCATCATGTTATATGCCTCAAAGCTCTTCTGTGTATCCAGAGTCTACATATCTCCCATTTAAAAATAAATTCCATGTTTATGCTTTTTATTTTCCATTTCCTCCTAGGTAATGAAGTAGCATAGCTTCTGGCCTTTCTACTAGGTAAAGTGAATTCCAGCAAGAAAAATTTGGGGCTTTTAAAGAATTCTGGGACTCTATGCCTATTGCAATTTTCATATTATTTTGTTGAAAACTTGTTTATTGGAGAGATTGGGGAGACAGAAATTTTGTGCTCCCTCGAGGACAAGATTCATATTTTAGTTATATTTCTATCCTTAACTCTTAGTCTGTAGTAAATACTTATTTTTATTGAATGATGTTCTTAATACAGTGAATAAATGTCCACTATCTTCCTGTGTCTAGAAAGTTAAGAGAACTTACGTAATGGTCTATATCAGTGAAGGAAAGCAGCGATGCAGGTAATTAAACAGAGGGATAGCCAGGTCCATTATTATAATCAGCAATGAAAGAGGCAGAATATTTTGACTATCATCTGTGGATCTTAGTATAAAAGTATTCATATCCACACCACTATTGATTCGTTTCATTTAATTCATTTTATTTGTTGTGGCAAAATAACGTCTTAAAAGTGTGAGATTGATTACTACAATGTTAGAAAGATCTAGACCTAGATGTATCTTAGACAAGGGTGCCCTACAAAGTGCCCTTGTGAACTTCTACAAGTCTGAGTGGTACTGCCATTTTGAGGAAATCACTTCCTCTGGTCTTTTTAGTCTAACTGCCTTGAAGTTGGTCTCTTCTTGTCAAGTAATCTCTGTATGCTACATGGCGACATAGATCAAAAAAACATGACCCAGTGATAGACATTATAATTTATTTTAGGATTGTAAATGTAAAAAGACTTGATTAAAGTAATTGATTGACTTAACATAATATAGTTTGGTCACAGGGATGGTAATACAGCATGAAGAATATAGCCAATGGTTCTGTAGAATCTTCCTATTTTGACAGATAGTAATTGTACTAGTTGGGATAAGGGTTTAATAATTGCTGAACCACTGTGTTGTATACTTAAAACTAATAAAAGATTGTATATCAACTATACTTCAATAAAAAAGGCAAATAATTAAGTGTCTTATAACTAAGTATAGTTAAAGAATTTGCTTTCTAAGCTATGAAATTAAGGCTTAATTGAATGAAAGATTTTTTTAAAAACCCTCACTACATCAAGATTGATTTCTCAACAAACCTGTCTTTGAGGGTCACTGGCAGACTTGACTTTTTCCCCAATGTCTTCCAGAATTTTGATAAGCTTCTTCTCCTTGGAAAACTCATCACTCAAGGCTTTTCCTGTACAGAATTGGAGAGCGGCCAATAGCTTCTGATACCAGCTTTTAAAATAAGCTTCATTCTGTGCATCCTTTAGCAGCCTGAAGGAAAGAGGGGAAAAGAATTCTTGTATCTAAAGCTGATTTTTTTTAACCACCTCCAGCAGGAACAATAAGTGCATTTCAGACTAATCTGTATTTGGTGGCTTTGGGCAGTTTACAGCCTAGAATGGGTGAAAATGTTTATTTGTTGGCAGTTAACAAGTTCCATCTGATAGCTAATGAGATTCCAAGAGCCAAGAATCAATAAGAGGCCTGACTTTTCTCATTTCAATTCACAAGACACTTTTCCTTCTTTCAGGCTTCTTAATTCTATAACATAGTTACCTGATGAACATGTTTTTGACTTCTTATTAAAGTATATACAAGAATTTTAGATACAGTATTTATTTATAAGTGACTACATATATTGCAACTCAACCATCACCTCCACATTTTTCTGCTTTTCTTCAAAATATATTGTCCCCACACTGTCACATACCTGTATGTTGCTCTTTGTTCCAGCACCCCCCAAACCCACCACATTCCACTCCCTCACCCCATCAGCCTTGATTATCTGGAGGAAGATTTCTGGATTCAAATCCCAGTCCTACAACCTACAATTAATTTAGGCCAGTTACTTAACCAGGCTAAGATTTTATTTCTTTATTGTAAATAAAGAAATAACTCTGACTCTGTAGAGCTGTATAGAATACAGAATGAACTGATGCATTTGGAAGAGCTTGGCACAACGTACAATACTAGTCAGTCAAAAAATATTAGTTTGTATCTCGCAGCCTCCTTAAGCCAGCTTCTGTCACTACCTGGCAGTGTGCTCATGTTACAAACATGGGAGGTAGAGAACATAAAAAACCAAGAATACTTTGCTAGATAATGGAAGAGTGACAAATATTTGTTACTCTCTCTGCCATGTGACAATTTCTTTTCTCTTGAAACTAATTCCAATATGCTAAAACTTTACTATTATGCTGTAAAACACTGAAATGGAATAAAAAAAGACTAAGTCTTTTTAATGTTAGCCTTTCTTGGACTGATTATTTTAATTTTAACTGGTCTCCAGTTTTCTCCTCTTTTGAAAAATGGTTAACATTCAAGGAACTAGAAGAAAGTTATTGTGAGAATGGAATACAAAGAAAAAAATGATTAAATGCATAGCAGCCAAACATACATAGATGAGTTTCATTCTGCATTCCTAATTTTGCATCTCTGACCAATATGTATTATGTTGCAGAGAGTCTAAGAAACACATTACTGTCATTTGTTTTATGTTCTCTGTTCCTACACATTTAAGTTAAAACAATTAGTTGATGAGTATGCCTTTGTCATTGTTATGAGGCCAACCTATTTTCTAACACCTCTTTTACTTTCCTAAAGGAAATATAAACTCTGAGTGGAATAGTAGTTCTTATTTACTTCTGGAAAGCATTAAAAAAAACAACTCAAGAAGCTAAAAATATAATCCATTGCTACTTGGTTATTTTCAATGTAGGAAGAATAGTAAACAACAAAAAGTTTTCCTACCCACCCCTATTGTGAAATTTTGCAATGTCAGACATAAAATAAACGAATCATGTCATTGTTTGGAGGCTCTAAGAAAATAAGTGTAGTATGAGTGTGAATTGGAAAGCCACAAATGCAAGCTTGTACATGTAAAACTCCAAGACACTTTATGTAGAATTACATATGTCTTGGATTCTCTCAGTGTTCTGAGGACTTTAGTAATGTATTATTTTATAGTGTACTTGAGTTTCAGTGAGGTAGAGAGTTGATGGGTAGAGTATTTCTATACCCCATATCAATTCTTGCCAGCATTTTGAATATTAAATTACTTGTTTTAAAAAATATTTTAACTTATTCTAAGAATATTTTAACTCTATAATCACCTGAGTGCAATATACATAATAAAAGGACAAGTTATTCTGTGCAGATGAAGTCAGCTTTTTATTAAAACAATTAAATAAAAGATATATTTATGGGTGAGGAGTCATAGGACCTGTCAGAATTATGTCATTTGTATTCCTTATAGTCCTAATTCTTATTCTATTAGAAATGTATTTGCTTCTCTCATGAGCAGTTGATTCAAAGAGGAAACACTCAGTTTGTTTCCTTGTTCAAAAAAAAAAAAAGCAGAACAGGGGAGATTTGCAGAATGTGACTGTACTCTAAAAATAAAGAAAGCAAAGAAAACTCAGTGTCTTCTGTTATGATTACTTTCCTTGTAGGATATGCCTCATTCAAACCCTGTGTCTCTGCTAAGATGATGTCCCTGCTAAGTTCTACTGGTGAGATCTTGTTCAAGCTTTATGGCTTTTATTCAATTTCTAAAGAGTTTGTTTTTACAAATTGCAGAAATGATTGGTAGAGCGGTAGAGTGGAGGAGATGAACGTGTAAGGTCAAAATAGTCTATCCCTGTGTCTGTAGGCACAGTCACTTTAACTAATGAGAGAAATTAATATGTCCTTTCATTTTAAACAACTGCAGAGAAAGTTGGACTGCACAATTTTGGGTGGAGGGTTACTTAGCTCTGTGTCAATGACCTTCACCATAAGGAAGTGGTAAGCCCCTTATGCCACAGGCTTCACCCACTGCCTGTTTGTAGACTGCAGAAAACAGCTACCTACTCTCCCTTGAGCATGATAGAAACTCTTTTCAAAAGACATTGTCACCTGGGAAAAGCACTATTGCTTAAGCCAAATAAAATGTTTTGAGTTTTTTTTTTTAAGTTAAAGTCAAGGGACTGATAAGTATTAAGTAAGATTTGGTGTTGAAAGATAGGGTTTTTAAGGATGCAGCCAATGTGTACAAATTTCAAAATTCCACAGACCTGTTTATCTTAAGGTTTGTGAGATCCAGCAATGATTCAATTTGATATTGTTTTGTACACATGTCTGATATACTATAAATAATGACATTAAAATGAGGATAAATGCTTAACATCTAGCTGATTAAAGGTTTTGACAGTGTTAAGCATGAGAGGCAGAAAGCAAGAAGAGAAGGAAAACAGCCCAGGTTGACTGAGCACATTTGTTACAGGATGTCACGAAAATATTTGCATCAATTATGTGGATCGTGGTGGGCTCAGAGAGACCTAAGATAGTCACAAACTCCAGCTAGCATGAAATGGAGATTTTCCTCAGAAATTAGAGCTTTGCTCCATTTCTTAATGTACATAGCTGCTTCTGGTCTCATGGTAAATGACTTGCTAGCCACAGGAAAAGTATAGGTAGGTCTCATTTAATCAGTTGGCCAGCAGGACAGAACAGCCACACCATCCCAGCCCTCCTTCCCTCACAAACCCTTCAGTGTGTAGGGCGTAAGCTTAGTTCTCAACAGCTCGATATCCCACATCTTAGGGGCTGCCTTTATTTTTGCTTACTTGTGCATTTCCTATGAATGAAGAGAGGAAACAATATCCAGACATAGAAGGAAGTTGAGCTGCCCAGTAAAAATAAGTGATTTTAGGTGACTCCAAGACGTCCCCTACCCATTTCCTCCTGTGTTTGTGGCCACTTTATGTAGGGTAAAATATGTGGCTCAGTAGATCAGTATTTAGAGAAAGGTTAAAATCCAATATTTGATATGGAATTATTTTTTTAAAGATTTCAATAGCACGATTAAGAAGTAAAAAGCATTTATCTCTTTAACCTTTACAACTTTTATTTCTCAGTGGGTAAAAGATTTATTTAATATTTCCCTAAACTGAGGAATTTGATACATTTTTTTAGTCCTTGCAAAGATAACTGTTTCTTATGATAAGTTCATTCTTAGAATACTGATTTGTTCTTTCAGAAATATAGCACTAAACTTCGGTTAAATTTGGTACGTGAGGAGTATTATATGGGCCAAGACTGTAGAAATGTAATTTCCAGTCAATAGTTATTTTGCAGTATATACTTGTCAATAAACCACTTAGTAACCACTTTCAAATATAAAATTATTAAAAGGGAATACATTCAGAAAATAATGAAATTCATACCTTAGAGATTGTATACATTTTTAGAACACTCAAATACATGAGAGAGGCCCTTGAATGAAGGTTTGTAACTGACTTAATTTCATCCTCAGACCATAATTTATATAACTAACATTAATTACCCCCTCAAAAGTAGTCTCTTTGGAATACTATATGTTCATTTTATGATGTACCCAGTGTGCTTACACTGTGTGTTAGATTTGATGATTGTTCCCAACTCTCTGTTTTCTCCTCTGAAATTATATGTCTATACTCTCTGCTCTATGACTTCATGGCCTTCTCATAGGCAGTCTACTTCTCTGCACCCCCTTGTCAAGTCTGACCATGTAACTCACTTTGATCGGTAGGATGTGGCTGAATGAAATGTATGCCCATGTCCATGCAGATGTTTTACATGTCATGTCGGGGATTGGTTTGGCCTCTTCTGCTTTCAGCCATGAGAATAACATGTGTCAACTGTATTATGTATGCCCTAAAAAAATCTTAGGGAATGGGAATGGAATGTCATTGGACAATGTCTTCTCCTAGGATGAGATGACAATGAGGAACACAGCTGAGCATGGCTGAGCACTGATGTGGAGTCCACTGGAACCAAGCAGAATTACAAGATGTTTGCAGCCTATGGGCTGCATGAGTGAGAAATAAATCTCTGCTGTTGTAAGCCACTGAAGCTATGGGGTTATTTGTTGCTATGTTAAAAACTAATGAATATGCCAAGTTTCATATTCTTTTTTCCTTTTCTTTGTTTTTGTTTTCTGTGTTTGTTTGGATTGCCTTTAGAACATGAAGCATATTTTTAAAACATACCCAGTGTTAGCCCTGAGGATATTTAGGGGCAAACCTCATTACTGAAAATAAACAAAAGTCATCTGGAGCCAAGTCTGGTGAATTAAATGAGTGATCAGTTTGAGTATACTCTTTCTGATAAAACAACTCTAAAAGTAATAAAAATGGCTTTCTTTTATAGATTATAAAAAAGCCCCAAAGGGTATTTAAAAAATGATTTGATCTGCTTATTTGGACATGCATATTCAGTTATATTGCTGAAATTTTATTTTATTACTACTA